TGTATATTTTTGTATTCTGTACAGTCCGATCAAATTCTTTATGAAGTATGTCAACGAAAGTCGATGCAATTACAACCGTGAACATTTCATTTAAGAAATCGAGTGTAAAAAGTATGCTGTGGGTCTCTATTGAAATGAGTGAGCTGGCTTTTGAGAAGACAAGACAAGACAAGGGCCCAAAGGTTGAGGTACATTTGTATTCTCAATTGCGGTGCCTGAGATGACTGAACCCACACACCTCCGTTTCTCTATTTACGGCTATGGTACATAGATTGCATGTAATTATGCATGTTTTATTTATTCTAACATCTCTGTTTCTGATTTATGACTTATTTATTCTTACATCTCTGTTTCTGATTCATGGTTTACTTATTCTAACATCTATGTTTCTGATTCATGGTTTATGTATTCTTACATCTCTGTTTCTGATTCATGGTTTACTTATTCTAACATCTATGTTTCTGATTCATGGTTTACTTATTCTAACATCTATGTTTCTGATTCATGGTTTATTTATTCTAACATCTATGTTTCTGATTCATGGTGTACTTATTCTAACATCTATGTTTCTGATTCATGGTTTATTTATTCTTACATCTATGTTTCTGATTTATAGCTTATTAAATTCTGAAATGTATGATTCTGATTCATGGTGTACTTATTCTAACATCTATGTTTCTGATTTTTGGTTTATTTATTCTAACATCTATGTTTCTGATTTATAGCGTATGAAATTCTGAAATGTATGATTCTGATTCATGGTTTATTTATTCTAACATCTATGTTTCTGATTCATGGTTTATTTATTCTTACATCTATGTTTCTGATTTATTTCTTATTAAATTCTGAAATGTATGATTCTGATTCATGGTTTACTTATTCTAACATCTAGGTTTCTGATCCATGGTTTACTTATTCTAACATGTATGATTCTGATTCATGTTTTATTTATTCTAACATATATGTTTCTGATTCATGGTTTATTTATTCTTACATCTCTGTTTCTGATTCATGGTTTATTTATTCTAACATATATGTTTCTGATTCATGGTTTATTTATTCTAACCGCTATGTTTCTGTTTCATAGTTTATTTATTCTAACATCTATGTTTCTGATTTATGGCTTATTTATTTTGACATCTGTGTCTCTGATTTATGGCTTATTAAATTGTGAAATGTATGATTGTGATTCATGGTATATTTATTCTAACATCTTTGTTTCTGATTTATGGTGTATTTATTCTAACCTCTATGTTTTTTATTTATGGTATACTTATTCTGACATCTCTGTTTCTGATTCATGGTTTATTTATTTTTACATCTATGTTTCTGTTTCATGGTTTATTTATTCTGACATCTATGTTACTGATTTATGGCTATTAGATTCTGAAATGTATGATTCTGATTCATGGTTTATTTATTCTAACATCTATGCTTCTGATTAATTGTGTATTTACTCAAACGTCTATGTTTCGGATTTATGGTTTATGTATTATATTCACAGTAGGTATACATACGCTGTATTACTATAGACATGCTTAAAGGTGATTTCACAAATGCCAACATTAAGTAAAGCTTTGTAATTTTCTGCGAAACAGATACAATATCTCAAACATACGTGCCATTAAAACTAATATTCCAGGAATATTTAGTGACCCATTTATATCAATTTTATCAGTACGTTTCCTTTTTCGCCCAACGGAATCTGTCCTGGCAGGTATTCAAAACCTGTTTTGCCCTGGTGTCGACGTTTTCAGCGACATGGAACAACTTCTGGTGTTGTATACTATAAGTTGTATGCTTCTCTCGAGGGTAATACGGGTCGGGTGACACTGCCACAAAGAGGCATACATCAGACCGTATTACCCGAGGGAGAAGCATACAACGTATTTATCTTACAGCCATGTTGAATGATCAAAACATCATTTTATGTTATGTTAAATATCGCTACCGACTATATGACATGCAAACAAAATGGCGTCTGCCTCTCGACTGGGTTTTTAGCATCAGTGAAACATATTCTGACGAGCATAAAACTACTATAAAAATTGTTAATTATGTTTAAACTGAGTTTGCAAACCACTCAATGTATAAAATAGCTTAAATAAAGCAGTGAAAGTCGGTAAAATAAATCTGTACAAAGTGAACAGCTGATCGAACGGTTTTCGAACTCCGGGCACGGCATGCATCATATCATGTTAGCGCTTCAGCATCTCGGCGGAGAGCTTGGCGGTTACCGTGGCAGCTGGTAATATTTTTTCCAGTTGTCACCCTCCTGGGAACTTGTTAAACCGTCATTGACCAATGAAATTAAAGTATTTTACATGAAGGTAAGATAAATGAGTATGGAGTCCATAGAGATGACCTTGAAGGTGTCTGTTTTTGTAAGGTCCAATCTACGATTCGAACCACGGCCAAAGACAAATGAACGCACCTATGCACAGTGGTTAATGTTGCCGTAGGCGAAAAGACCACACGCATCCGATTACTCATTGACAATGGGTTCAAGTCCGTAATGATGTTGTTGATAGCCGTACTCAGCAATATACCCTCTTTATGTCGTCCGTCTGTAAAAATCGAGTCTTAACCAGACAGTCCAACAATTGACATGCTGAGCATTGAGCCAGACGATCCAATCCTGAGTATTTTCATGAGGAAGCGGCGGCACAGATATATCAACATTTACCCCATCACTTACTGAATAAAACCTGAAACCTAAATATAGATGTATATTTTGTTGGCAAAACACTAAACGTACTCGTTCGATGTTCAGTGTTGGGCGGTGGGGTAGCATAGGGGTTGAAGCATTGGCTCGTCACGCCGAAGACCCGGATTCGATTCCCCACATGGGTACAATTTTTGATGCTCATTTCTGGTGCCCTCCTCCATGATATTGCTGGAATACTGCTAAAAGCGACGAAAAACTAAACTGACTCACTGTTCAGTGTTGCTGAGGGACTGAGTTTCACGCCACTTTCAGCAACTTCCCTGCAATAGTTAAATACCTTCACACATCATCCTTATGTCGGAAATCGAACCCACAACGTTAGCCACCAGACTACAAGGCTATTTATATATCCCTCAAAGTCTACCATTACCTCACCCCCTAGTCATCTCATAAATTGTTCTTTTATCCTTCGAGGACAAGGCGATTGTCGTTAAAAGGGAGAGATGCCATACAAGTAGCTCCAAATGATTTGTTTTACTTCCTTGGCCCTTAACTGTTATATCTATGCTGACAAGGTATAGATCGCCGTGAAGGGTTCGTATATTGATGTAAGATTCACTTTTACAATATTCTTTCCGACCATCCATAAATTCATCATGACAAAGTCTGAACATCTCAAACGAGATCATAGATGTCAACTTCTTCTTATACTCCTTATACTCGTCTTATATATTCACCAACTTCTTAATGCCTCTCAAGAATCTCAAGTATAAACTTGATTCCCTTGATAATATTCACTTCACGAATGATATTCCAAGGAGGGATGTAGGTTTTGAAAAAACAATATTATAGTTAAATACTCATGGTTATATACTCATGATATAGTCACCATTGTACACTCGACTCTGCTTTCAGCGGGGATTTCTTATGGATGTTTTGTACAGGGTTTTGTCGCTCTTATCATGGAAAATGTTACCTGAACATGCATTGTCATTTTCCTCAAAATAACAGTTTTAAGTTCTTCCATTTTGTAGAATGCAATGTATTTCTTGAAACTTGGCCAAAAACATATTTCATCCCGAACCAGCCTCCGCCTCTCATCAACCTCTCATAAAACATGCAATACTGGACAGAATGATCTCAACTACTATTTAGGGGTTCTTAAATCTACCAACTGAGAAATTAGCTCAAAAGGGCTTCGTAGTACGAAGGAATGAGTGAGTGAGTATGTCTTAACACCGGTTTCAACACATTTTCAGCAATCCGACGGCTCAGGAGACCAGAAATTGGCCTCACACATTGTACACATGTGGGTAGTCGAACCAGGGTCTTTGTCTTAGGCAACCCAAGAACAAAGAGAGAGACACTGGGTGCTGAGAGCCTGTTCTGCCAAATGATGTCAGTAGGGCATCAATTTAGCTCAATACCTCTAAAGGAAACAAGTTAGTAGCCAGTCTAGTAACATCCAAACATGTTGCAAGAGGGAAGATTACTTTTAGGGGATAACTGTACTGTGATTGACGAATTGGGGACGTATACCGGTGGTTATATAGCCGCAAATTTAGTTATATCGGCGATGCGATATAACATTACATGAAGCTTCTGAAAATGATAATGCCCTGAAAAACAACGTTACCCCTATAGTGTAGGGATGCATTCAAAAATGTTGGCGAATCGATTTTTAAGTGCGGCCGTATATGCTTATGTTACATTTGTTTAGTTACTATAATTGTGAGCTGGATTTAAAGCCTACTTGGGGAATATTTTTGTATTATCACGGCTTGCCAGCTTGATCATGGAAGAAAACTTCTAAAAATGTAGACGGGCTTTCTATGTTTACCATGATGGTCAATATCTAAAACATGGCTATGGTGCTGACAAACCTAAAGAGCATAATATTCGATTCGAACCACGACCATATGTTTGTGGAAAGACAGGGGCGCAACTGTGGACAATGCATTACATATTATGCAGGGGTACCCGGTGGGATAAATCATGTGACTATAACATTCTACCGCCTCACAGGCAGCTTGGGTTATCCGGGGTAATATTGAGCTGTGCAAGCGCTTGGAGCGGACACTTAGTGTCTGGAGTATTTAGCGCTATAAAAATACACTCATTACTATTATGTATGATTTTGCCACCGTTATCTCGCTGAATGGGGAAACTAATACGGAAGCAACCCTTAAGTGCATATCGTGCACTGTTACTCAGCCAACTATTAGTGTTATGGATAGATGGGTAACTCTCCTGCAATACGTCGCACCATGACGACGCTAAACGAACAAAGACAGCAAAATTAAATCAATCAATCACCATAGTGATCCAACACACTTTAGACATGACGAATAACCCTTATTGAACACATGCACTATGCACACTGGTGCACACCAGGAAGGTCGATCGAAGGAGAAACATATCCAGCCATTACCTGAAGCTAGGTAAGAAAATTGTTTATGCATTTCAAACTAAGTATTTCAATTGAGGTCACTAAACCAGATCTGACTGCACGAAATTTGTTCATGTGTGCATCTGTGTGTGTGTGTGTGTGTTTGCGTATCCGTGTCAGTGTCTTTGTGCGTGCATATGTGTATGTGTCGATGTGTATGCGTGTCTGGGCCTCTATCTGTGTCTGATTGTGTATTTCTGGTTGTTGCCTGGTGACAAATAGAAATATCCTAGGCAGACATCTTGAGGACAATATAGACTAGTACTATAAAAGTATTTGCGTGTCTGTGTGTGCATTCGTCTGAGTATGTGTTTGTGCGCATGCAAGTGAGCGTCTGTGCGTTATGCGTGAGCGTAAATGTTTATATATATATGTATGTGTTCTTATGTGATTTTGTTGCGTGTATGTGTGACTGTGTGTTAGAGTGTGTGCAAGAGTGTGTGTGAGTTACTTTTACACCCCCTTCATACCCTCACTCCCCGACCTGTACATATGAAAGCAGTACGACATGCGTAATGTCACACCGAGACAATAGACGGAGTGAGTGAATTTAGTTTTACGCCGCACTCAACAATATTCCAGCTATATGGCGGCGGTCTGTAAATAATCGAGTCTGGACCAGATAATCAAGTGATCAGCAGCATGAGCATCAATCTGCACAATTGGGATACGATGATATGTGTCAACCAAGCCAGCGAGCCTGACCACCCGATTCCGTTAGTCGCTTCTTACGACAAGCATGGGTTTTCTGAACGTTCATTCTAACCCGGACCTTCACGGGCTCAATAGTAATGAAAGTTTAAACGGGTTGTTACACGCACACCATATTTCCTTAAACAGCAGAAATCAATACTTTCCACGTCCTTCCATACCCCCATTTCCCGCCCTGTACATATGAATGTAGCACGTATGTGGGGTAGTGTTTCTCACCCCTCCATACCCTCACTCCCCGCCCTGTACATATGAATGTAGCACGTATGTTGGGTAGTGTCTCTCAGCCCTCCATACCCTCACTTCCCGCCCCGTACATATGAATGTAGCACGTATGTGGGATAGTGTTTCTCACCCCTCCATACCCTCACTCCCCGCCCTGTACATATGAATGTAGCACGTATGTTGGGTAGTGGTTCTCACCCTTCCATACCCCCATTTCCCGCCCTGTACATATGAATGTAGCACGTATGTGGGGTAGTGTTTCTCACCCCTCCATACCCCCATTTCCCGCCCTGTACAAATGAATGTAGCACGTATGTGGGGTAGTGTTTCTCACCCCTCCATACCCTCACTCCCCGCCCTGTACATATGAATGTAGCACGTATGTGGGGTAGTGTCTCTCACCCCTCCATACCCTCACTTCCCGCCCTGTACATATGAATGTAGCACGTATGTGGGGTAGTGTTTCTCACCCCTCCATACCCTCACTCCCCGCCCTGTACATATGAATGTAGCACGTATGTGGGGTAGTGGTTCTCACCCTTCCATATCCCCATTTCCCGCCCTGTACATATGAATGCAGTATGACATGTTTGATATCACATCAAGTGAATAATGTTGTTGAGAGGCATTCTAGAAGTTGGTGGTTTAGAGATGAAAAGACCTAATGAATGATCAACTTTTTTATTTTGACAATGGCGACGTTTCGGTATAGACTCTCATACCGTTTTCAAGCACGTGGCAAAGAATCTAAACCGAAACGTCGCCATTGTCAAAATAAAGAAGTTGATCATCCATAAATTCTTTTCATCTCTAAACCACCAACTTCTAGAGTAAATAGACGAATGTAATGTTAGTTTTTACACGCACACCATATTTCCCTATACAGCAGAAATCAATGAATGCCATGTCCATACATGTTGTGTGTATGAATAGCTATAGAGACAACACAGTGATACTGATTTGTACTGATACGATGACATACACGTGATTATAAGTGTGTGTGTGTGTGTGAGAGAGAGAGAGAGAGAGAGAGAGAGAGAGAGAGAGAGAGAGAGAGAGAGAGAGAGAGAGAGAGAGAGAGAGAGAGAGAGAGAGAGAGAGACTACATGTGAATACGTGCGTGTGTGAGTGTTTATGTCTGTCTCTGCACTTGTTAATGATGGAGAGTGCGCGTGAGTGAGTGAGTGAGTGAGTGGATGGGTGAATGGGTTTGTGGTTGGGTGGGTGAGTGCGTGCCTGCGTGCGTGCGCGCGCGCGTGTATATGTGTGTGTGTTTGACCGGCGTCTTGTAAGAATCGTGATTGGTACAGGAAGCAATCAATTTGGTCACCTAAATCTTATTGGGTTTAACTGGCCTGTTTCAACAAACCACTATATTATACATATAACCCTGTTCAATACAACGTCACATCTCGACTCATTCAGTCAAACTTGTTTGTAAATCTGTGATAACTATAGAGTTACGACAGGTCGTAAAGTTAGGAACGCTTTGTGGATCTGGACGCAGTTTTGTAAAAAACGTAATTGATTTTGTACATTCAACATAGTGTTTTATTACATGATAATTCACTGATAATCTCCTTCAGAGGGAACTAAATGGCGCCCAACGCAAGAACTGCGAATATCAAGATGTTAAATGAACTGAGAATTCGAAGTTTCTTGGCCTCTAAAATGATGTACGAACAGTCAACCAGATACAATAACTATGCTTTTTGGAACAGTGATGTTAGCTAGTGGTCTTATGGCCTTTGCTGGTGCTAAACTAACCGTGGGTGTTTATCAGAACATATGGGATTCAGCACCTAAAATAATCATCGGGCTGGTCACTGGATTTACAGTCTCCTTTCAAACTGGCAAAGTCTTTCTCATTGATTACTTTGAAAAGAAGCAAGGAATCTATAACGAAACAGCATCAGGTTGGCAAAAACTGGAATTGGACATTGAATTATTTCTTAACTCTATCGAGGTCAAAACCACAATCAAAGATATCAGAGAGTTTACAAGTGAATGTATAAAACAACGGGATGATATATGTTCCAAGTCAAAACCAGAGGAAGACATTTATCAGAAATACCATGGTAACGCCGATTTAGTTATCAAGAAGTATCGGAAGAAACACACTGTCATTGCGTACATTCTACAAACACTTGATCGGGAGGAAGAAGCAGAAGGAGAAGAACATCAAGAAGAAGATCAAGAAGATGAATCTGACCTGGTTTGTTGGGCTTGTCTTCCGTTTGGTGTATATTATTGTCTTTTGTACCATCTGATCAAATTCTTTATGAAGCATGTCAACGAAAGTCGATGCAATTACCACCGTGAACATTTCATTTAAGAAATCGAGTGTAAAAAGTATGCTGTGGGTCTCTATTGAAATGAGTGAGCTGGCTTTTGAGAAGACAAGACAAGACAAGGGCCCAAAGGTGGAGGTACATTGGTTTTCCCAAGTTACGCAACTCAGCTAATTGCGGTGCCTGAGATGACTGAACCCACACACCTCCGTTTCTCTATTTACGGCTATGGTACATAGATTGCATGTAATTATGCATGTTTTATTTATTCTAACATCTCTGTTTCTGATTTATGGCTTATTTATTCTAACATCTATGTTTCTGATTTATGGCTTATTTATTCTAACATCTATGTTTCTGATTTATGGCTTATTAAATTCTGAAATCGATGATTCTGATTCATGGTTTATTTATTTTATCATCTATGTTTCTGATTTATGGCTTATTTATTCTAACATCTATGTTTCTGATTTATGGCTTATTTATTCTAACATCTATGTTTCTGATTTATGGCTTATTTATTCTAACATCTATGTTTCTCATTCATGGTTTATTTATTTTGACATCTGTGTTTCTGATTTATGGCTTATTAAATTCTGAAATCTATGTTTCTGATTCATGGTTTATTTATTCTAACATTTATGTTTCTGATTTATTTTGACATCTGTGTTTCTGATTTATGGCTTATTAAATTCTGAAATGTATGTTTCTGTTTCATGGTTTATTTATTCTAACATCTATGTTTCTGATTTATGGCTTATTTATTCTAACATCTATGTTTCTGATTCATGGTTTATTTATTCTAACATCTATGTTTCTGATTCATGGTTTATTTATTCTAACATCTATGTTTCTGATTCATGGTTTATTTATTTTGACATCTGTGTTTCTGATTTATGGCTTATTAAATTCTGAAATCTATGTTTCTGATTCATGGTTTATTTATTCTAACATTTATGTTTCTGATTCATGGTTTATTTATTCTAGCATCTATGTTTCTGATTCATGGTTTATTTATTCTAGCATCTATGTTTCTGATTTATGGTTTATTTATTCTAACATCTATGTTTCTGATTCATGGTTTATTTATTCTAACCTCTATGTTTCTGATTTATGGTTTATTTACTCAAACGTGTATGTTTCTGATTTATGGTTTATTTACTCAAACGTGTATGTTTCTGATTCATGGTTTATGTATTATATTCAGAGTAGGTATACATACGCTGTATTAATTACTATAGACATGATTAAAGATGCTTTCACAAATGCCAACATTAAGTAAAGCTTTGTAATTTTCTGCGAAACAGATGCAATATCTCAAACATACGTGTCATTACAACTAATTTTCCAGGCATATTTAGTAACCCATTCATATCAATTTTATCAGTACGTTTCCTTTTTCGCCCAACGGAATCTGTCCTGGCAGGTATTCAAAACTTGTTTTGCCCTGGTGTTGACGTTGTCAGCGACATAGAACACCTTCTGGTGTTGTATACTATAAGTTGTATGCTTCTCTCGAGGGTAATACGGCTCGGGTGACACTGCCACAAAGAGGCATACATCAGACCGTATTACCCGAGGGAGAAGCATACAACGTATTTATCTTACCGCCATGCTAAATAAACAAAACATCATTTTATGTTATGTTAAATATCGCTACCGACTATATGACATGCAAACAAAATGGCGTCTGCCTCTTGACTTGGTATTTAGCATCAGTGAAACATATTCTGACAAGCATAAAACTGCTATAACAATTGTTAAT